GAGATACTCAAAATTCACAGGGATTTTTTTAGCCATCCAAGAAAGGACAAGATGGATAGACAGTGTCATCGAAGCTACCAACATGAATTTGATCCAACTCAGGGAGGCAGTGGTCCGTGGGCTCACGAAGAGACAGAAATGACTAAACAACAACAATGTAGAGCACCTCAGTCAGTTTAAGGAACTTCTATATTGTTTGACATCTATTTTGTCTTGTACCATCTTTCTCACAACAGTAGAGTAGTCCTGAGTTGACTAGATAGGCGGGATATAAATAAAATAAAATAAATAAATAAATAAATAAATAAGTAGCCATAAAAGTAATTCTGTTGGCTTGTGGACATCACTGTTCATTCATAGGGCATATTATCTTGGCGGTTTTAGTGCTTCCATAGCTCCAAAACAGTGAAGAAGATAAGTTTGGCTCTACTAGCATTCCAGTAACACCTCCTTTCTGCATTTGCCCTTTTTATTGTTCAATGTCATGGTAGAAAATCTTGAAAATTCATGGTATTTTTTCCTTTCTGGAGAAACTGTAGAGTTTGCCCGTTTTTACTTGGGCTTTCAAACTCCAAGAAAAGCTATGAAGACAAATCTGTAGCTTGGCAAAAAGTCATTTTTACTCTTTCATTCTTAAGATGCTTGCATGTAGGTTTCCCATTACAGGAACTGGAGAAATGGAAACAATCCCAATATTAGAAGACTCTGTTTTAACTTTTCTTTTCTGTTCATAGACTCCAGATGCTTGAAGCCATCTGTAAACACTGGGAAGGCCCAATCAGCCTTGCACTCTATCTTTCTGATGCAGAGGCGCAACAGTTTCTGCGTTATGCTCAAGGCTCAGATGTCCTTATGAGCCGGCACAATGTTGGATACCACATAGTGTACAAGGAAGGTCAATTCTATCCAGTGAACCTCCTGCGGAATGTGGCCATGAAACATATCAGCACACCATACATGTTCCTGTCAGATATTGATTTCTTGCCCATGTATGGGCTTTATGAGTACCTCAGGTAAGGATCAGAACTGTACATCTGTATACATGTATCTTTAGTAGGGCATAAACATGAAGCATAAAGTTTCAACCAACATCTTGGAAAAGTGTTTGTCTTATTTATAACTCTAGTGAATCCCCCAAGCAGTGGCTACGCTGGCTGGGGATTCTGGGACTGGTAGTCCAAAAAAGTAGCTTTTCCAAGGTGTTCTCTTAATGGGAAATGTCTACATCTGTCACAGGTCTTCACCTGGGATGTATGTAGCATTTAGATATCATGGAATGGGGTACTGGAAATAAGCCAGAAGCTTTTCAGTTTTAGGTTATGTCAGGAAGCAGAAGGCAGAGCAGGCTTTGATAATAAAGGGGATGTTAAAGAAACATGCTTAGACTGGAAAAAATTGATGCAGTTTGGGGACTCTCTGAAGAACTCTCTGGACTGCAGCCCTTAGGTTGTGCAAACCCAAGTGATCAAGCAGAATTCTACTGCCTGTGTTACTACAAACCATGATCATTGGCTAGAATAAAGAAGACAGACTACTGGAAATGGATTGTTGGTGTTCTGCTTTCCTAATGGCATTCCAGGAGGCAAGGAAGCAATAGGATACTCCCAGTCCATCACAAAATATGATGGAGTACGGTGACAGAAAGTATATATACAGTACTTGAAGCTGACCTGTAGTGCCAGCAGTGTCTTGTTTGTGGAACTCCCTTCTATGGAATGTGAGATCAGGCACTTCTTTAATTGTTTCAGGCTAGAACCAGAAGTTATATATGGATCTTTATTAGGAGATCTTTGTGTCTGAGGGTGTCACAATAGGAACTTCTCTTCCTTCCAAAATTTGCAGATTATATGGCTTTGCTTTGTGATTGGTCTTCAGGACTTAATTACAGTCCTCTTTTAAGGATGATTTCTCAAATGTCAGTGTCTATCTCATGTTCAGTTCACTAATACTAAAGTGCTTTCCCGTTCTAATTAGAGGCTATATATAAAGTGTGTTTCTGCTTTGTGTCCCAGCTTTTAATATTATATACTTATTCTTTCAGTGCTGCTCTGTATGAGTTTTTGCTTCTTGTTCCACTGTTTTTTGTTTTTTGGCAAAGTTCTAATATTAGATCACCTTGTTCACCTGCCGGGAAAAAGTAACAATTTAGAGAGCATTTATTTATTGAATATATAAACCAGGAAATCTATAAATTAAATAAATATTCTAAAGCATGACATTAGATTGAGGTCCAGTGGAAGTGGTAGAAGTTTCCATTACAAGGCATGCTTTTAACAGTATATTGGTCCACAGCTGTGATAAATGTACAGTCACATCCTCTCCTGGCACAGGAATGGACTGGGTGACCTACAGGTCTCTCATCTCTGACATTGATGTCTCCAGGATGTCTTTAACAGAGAAATGTTGTTGAAGGTGTTATCTCTCTGACATACTGTTAACCCAGCAATGTACCTTGAAAGCAGAGCTGTGATCTAAACAGGTTAGATAAATGATGGAAAAAATAAGAACTTTTCAAGACAGAATAATTACTGCCCTGTATATGGTGGAGGGAACTACTTCAGTGAGTAATGTGTAGCAGTAGATGTGAACAAGTTGGGTTTCATGATCTCCAGACGTCGGCTACGCTTACCTTACCTGTCTTAATAGAAATCCAACCTTCCCTTTACCTTCCTGTAGTATATAGAACAAGGAGGCCATCATGTGGCCAAACAAAGAATTGAAAGTCCTTGATATTCATAAACTGCTTCACAAGATATTTTATTTATTTATTTATTGTTCTCACAGTGCTCTCACCATATCCATTTTCCCACCTACCAGCTTCAGCTGTTACTGCTTTTTCTGTTCATGTTCATCCCCATGTGTTTTCTTTGTCTAGAATAATTATGCTATGAGAAGTAAACATCTTCTAACCATTTTTCCTATGTAGATAACACTGCTTTTGTTTCTTCTGTGCTGTCAAGCTGCCTCTAACTTATGATAACTCTAACAGAGTTTCCAAAGCGTGGGACATATTTAACCAGAGGTCAGGAGTTTGATTCTCCACTTTGCCCCCTGGGATGATGATGATCATCATCATCAACTATTTATTTATTTATTTATTTA